TTGCCCTCTTATTCTTTTCCTCGGTTTGGTTGCTTATCTTCCGGCCGGGGACTCCGTAAAGAAGTGTTTGCGCCCGAAACAGGCCCGAAGATACCTGTTCGAGTAAGTGCTTCCTAAAGCAGCCTCGCTGCATCAGCAGGATCAGCCAAAATATCCTCCTCTGGGACAACAACAGATCCCGCAGGTAGACCTTATTTCATGAACAAGTCAGAAAGGTTCAACCAAGTTCTCCATATACAAAAATAATGGAAGCAAGGTAAGTTAAAATTACCATGATGTTTGGCCTTCCACCCGTATTTAAGGGCCGATTCTTTCCACAAACGAGTTTCGGGCGTCGTGACGTCCAAGATCTTCTAAACCTACCGGTCCAAATGTTCCACCACTGGTGGGATCCATCGAGTTGATGGAACATACGAAGGATGAAGAGTTGATACGGCCATAAAAACATATCTAGTAAGAAGAAATACTAAACAAAGAGCTTACGAGTGTGGTTCCAAGCGGCCGAAAAAGATGAAGCCGTTTTCGGAATGATGTCATTAGTGGCGACTGCAACAAACCGTTCCATCCACCCATGGTCGTTGTCATCATCCATGCTAGAAAGCAAAGCATGGTGGCCACGCTTGTAGAGGTTTATCATTCCCCCGCAGAAGATTTTGGGAGAATAGAGATTCATCATATGAGCTAAGGTTAGCCCATCTCCGGTTTCCTCGCACAAGCGTCGAAGACAGGCGACCGTCCTCCACACTGAAGGACTTACCTGTGCCAAACACACTTGGTAGCGAAGGCAAAACTCCGCAATCACGGAATCAAGCTCTCCACTCAAAGAAAAATCACCCAAAGTAAAGGGATACGTGTAAAAGTATGCAAAACCTTTCTTGGAAAGGGTCACTCGCTCCGATAGATCAGGAGCAATGATATCCAACTCATGGCAGCGACAGTCTTCCTTCACAGCAAGAATACTGGAAGGACGAATGGAAGAAGGGTACCTACTAACAGCCCATGTACGAGGGGTTAGCAGTAGGGAATTTTTCTTCAAGATCCTTTTTGGTACTGAGTTCTTTTGAGATGATAGAACCTACCGTTGGAGGAACAGAGTCCTCGATTCTGTTCTTGTTCTTTGTAGAACCAGCACGCTTGGAGAAAGAAGCCATTGAAAAAGAAGAAGGAAAAGGTTTTGTGTTTGAAGAGAATTAGAGAAAGGATGGAAAACAAAGATGCAAATCAGAAGCTCGAGAAATTATGAAACAGAAAGGAAAAGAATGTTCCGTATAAGTAAAATTTTGGCGGCTAAATTCATGGCCATGATTACCTCGATAATCGGCAAAACCTGTGCTGAATCATGGGATGACGCGTGTTCGGGGCTTTAAATGTGGAGAGACGTGCGTCTAATCAACTGTCAGGAACTTTCTGAGGGAGTTATAGTAATTTTCGCCAAAAAAGTGTTTCTACCAACTTTCCGGTAACACAAAGTTATGTCACCGAAAAGCAGGGGGACTATCTGTATAGGATAAAATATGATATGACACGTGGTCGTCTAAAGGAAGGACACGTGGAACCCAAGACAGGGATGGCCGAAGACTGAACGCAGCCATTCCGCTTGTCACTGGAAAAGATAACGTTCATAAAGGTGTATTAAATGCTCTGCGCCCGATAGCATTTAATAGGGAATATTTTACAACATTAAGAACGATTGTCTGTTACAGAGAATTTGGCATTTATGTTCATTGTTACGTCTTCAGCAATGATCCTTATAATTGACATTAAAGGAGGAGACGGTCCTAGGACCTCCTTCCCTAGACATAGCTATAAATAGTGAGCTTAGTTATCATTGTAAATGACACAAATTTTCTAGCTAAACTTATACTATATTCTATACAAAGCTGAATACAATTTTACTTTCTTATTTTTTGATCTCATCATTGTTGTTCCCGAAAAATTTCCGGAACTGTCAATCTGCTGTTTCATCTACATTTCAAGGCTAAGTATTGTACATTTCTTCAATTATTGTATTATTTCAAAATCAAATTAGTTCACTTATCTAGAAACCACGTATAAATTCAACTGTACCGTTTTACGGGTAAATAATTATATGACCCTAGGGGTCGTTTGGTTGGAAAGATGTTATCCCGGGATTAATTATTCCGGGATTAGTTATTCCGAAATTAGTTATTTCATCTTTCCATGCGGATAAAAAAAATACTACGATCCCGAAATTAATTATATCATAATTTTCTTCCAACTAAATATGAAATAAACTCTTATTAAATTTAGTTCCAAAATTAATTATTTTTTGTACCTGGTACCAAACGAGCCATTGGAGCACAAATAGGGTGGTCGTTCCATTGTTATCAAAATCATTGAAAGGCAGGGGCAGAATCACAGAAGCAAGTGGATATGGGTCCTAATGTGGTACAGACTTTTCTACCATCCACGTCTTCCATCATTCTTTCAACTCTTCGAATAACATGAGTTTACTCAATTTTTTCACCTCATGCCATGGCTAGCCGTCAGAGCCTAATCAATTTATTCTCTATATAGGATGAAGGGAATAAAAATAAAAGGGGATAAGTAGTTTAATTTGACCCTTTTTAGTTTACACCAGTTGTTTAGTATTTGTATTGGGGCATTGAGTAATTTAAATAAGTACCGTGTAAGACTCTTTTATTCTCAAACTCGAACTCGATATCTTCGATTATAACTGAAGAAATTTTATCCATCAGATATAATTATGGGTGCTTATTTAATTTAATTAACAATGCGAGGTGACGGAAGTGGAATTAACCACACATGAAAAGCAATCAAATGGTATTTTCTTTTCCCTTATGAAAAATGAAGAGAAAAGAAAAATAAAATTTTAAAAAAATTCCCTAGAAAAAGCGAACACTTATTAAGCTATACGTATAGCGTTTTTATGGATGCGATCATGAATTACTTCTTAGTTCTTACTACCAAACAAAGCATAGTGGAATAGACAATTTGCATTACTATCCACAAATTCACAGTCTCAGTCTCATTCCATGGTGGAGAAGTGATAGGCTCCACAATAAGCATAATTAATTATCCTCCTTTAATTTTAAAAAAAGTTGTCCCCCTTTATTATAACACCAATTCTTGCCTTTTCTTCATTTTATATATTTTGAGGTAAACTTAAATTATTTAGTATATATAGAGTCTATAAGCCATGGAAAAAATTAGTCTAGAATTAATGCATGCTGTCATTATTTTCCCCGCTTACTATTAATAACTTGACTGCTCTTGGTTAATTTATTAGTTTATACATTTGCAAACAAATAAAACTAATTTTGGTAAATCTGCCTATTAGCATTCAATATTTATAAATATGGGGTTCAAGATTAGGGTTTAGGGTTCAAGAGAAGAAAACCAATGCATTCCCTTGTCTTCTTATTATGATGTTGACATAGAAGGGGTTCGATTATCACCCGTTCATATCGTGAAAATAATTTTACATTAGATATGGTTTGGACCTTCAACTAATTCGAGCGAAAGTTTAGAGCATTGAGCTCACATTTATTCTAGTTAATTTGAATTGATAAAACTTCGTCTAATTGTATAAACGTTAAAAGAATAAATTTGCTAGTAGTAGTTAAAAATGACAAATAAGTATCTAATTCTTGTAAACAGAGAAGAAGTCCGTCACTTTCACAATAATGTTCCTGGCTACCAGCAGGACCACAAGTCAATTTCCAGTTGTTGCTATTTTGATGTCTAAAAAAAAAAAAAAGTGCAGATAATTTGTATAAACAAATTTATTAAATATATATAAATATTTAATTACGATGGACGATAAATTCAGAATTATGAACTTCAAATTATGGCTTCACTCCTCACTACCAACTCTCTTAATCATTAATGGGTTGCTTTACTATGTTCAATGCTTTATTCTGTTCAATTTTTGCGTGCTAATCATTGCAAGCAATGAATTTAAAAGCCCTATTATAATAGTTTAAATATTGGGAAGTATAGTAAAAGTCTGATGATAGAAACCTTGTACTTTATTAATGCTGGTTTTATGTTTCTATCAGAGTGGGTAGTTTGTGTTACTTTCCATTAAAAAGAGACATCTAAAATTCAAGAAAATTATAAATGACGACAAAGTTCTATGACCATATTTTCATCAAATAGCACTTCCAAATTAAGAAAATATACTAACAAGTTGAAAATAAAGATCTCCAACTTCCCCTATCTTTTGTGTGTGTATATATATATAAAGTTCACTTTATTTGAATCTTGGGAAACAAGAATTTTTTTTGGTAAGAGGAAGTAAATTGTAATTCTTAGTATCAGAATAGCGATAAAAGTATTTTAAGATGTTTGTTACTGTGCAAAAGGTAACAATTATTTTGGGGAAGGGCTGCAAGTTTGTACTAAAGTTTTTTAATAAGTAAAAATACATAGCTTAGTTCTCTCATGGTACGAAGTTTAAGAGATAAAATAGGACTTTTAAAAATTCTGGTTGTAAACATGCCAAAACATTTATGTAACTATAAATTTTTGAAACTTATACTCTTAAATATACTATAAATTTGTGTGATTATAAAACATTCTCATTAAAAAAATATAGAAACGTGTCATCCCTTTTAACAACTAACAATGAAACAGTATTAAACCAAGTGAGATGGATAGAATAATTGACAAGATCTGATAGGATACGCTTTTCATTAATCGGCTTTACACGAATTGAATCTGAATTAATCGAGTAGTAAGTGTCGGATACAGGATAGTTATGCTAAACAAAATTGACAAGATCAGAAGCATAAACAAAGTTTCTAACCTTGATTGTCATTTTCTTTATCTAAAACAATCCTTAGTTAATTAGTACGGATTAATAATTTAATTTTAACATGGAAATGCCAAACACATCAATAGTTTTATCAAATGAAAATTTCCTTTCTGACAAAAGAAACTAAGCTAATTTCCTTACACATGTCAAGATGTTATAGATTCTCTTTTATTTATCTCTCTGTTCTGATTCCCCTGTCACTAAAACCAAACTGTCAAGCATATATTCACCATTCAACGACGTTTGGGTTGTTACTAATGTTAGTAAGTTCGGCCGAATTGGCTCCCGTCACTCTAGCTCCATCCCTAACAATAAGGGGCATTTATGTAAGCCACTGTAGCAAAAACTAGTACAGTTTCTCATGATTCATGAATTCCATTTTCAATATAGGAGAAATGTCCCCAATCTTGATGAGGACAGTTTGGTAAATTTGGTACATGTAGTTGTGTAGCAGCAATTCAGTTCACTGTCTTCACTTCTGTTTCAAGTTCCTTACCTGCAAAGTGTACAACTGTATACAAAGAGAGAGAAAACAAAGCACCCCCTTTTACTGAAACATGTAATAATAGGCTAGTAGCTATATAGACTATAGCTTCTTACTATAACTGTATCTTCCTCAAAGTTTGTTCCTAGGATTCACTTTTGCAGTAAACTAAGAAGTAACTACTTTCTGCATCGTGGTTCTTGTCTTATTGACTTTGAGAAAGAATGACTTCTATTTAGATTAGTTTCTTAGTAAAAGATAAAGCAAGAAGTAAGGGCATAGCCGCTGCACGAAGTTGGGCCTTAGCGCCTCCGTTTTCTTGCTCGTTGGCCCCCCACCCATAGTAAAGCAGCTTTTCGAGAGCTGGATTCGTGAAAATAGAGGATCTCCACTTGACTTATAGCAGCGTAAAAAAAAAACTAGTCAAAGGGGAAACAGGGGAAATGGCTTATTCCACATCAAACTAAACCCGCCTAAGTGACAGTAAAAATATTGACTATTTATAGCATTCTTGGGTTTTGGGTGTTTTTGATTTGGTTTTACTGTTCATTTGTGCATATGGGATTTTGCTAAAAACGGTTTGGTTGATTGACTGAAGAACTAAAGTCTGTTGAAAGTATGTCTTTGAAGAGCAAAGGAGTAGCAGAAAGAACTTCAAGAAGTGCAGTTTCACAAAAATGGAGTCTTTTACTTTGTCTTGGTAGTTTTTGTGCTGGAATGCTCTTTACAACCAGGTAAAATTATTCACTTAATAAAGATTACACTTTTTATTGTGATATTTCCTTATGTGAATTAGATTGAAGGAACTTTGGGGCATGGAAACAGTTCTTGTAAAAATGTAGGGCAAGATTGAGTACAATAGAACCTTATGGCAGGGGCGGATGTAGCACTGTATTTACGGGTTCAATTGAAACCCATAACTTTTGACGCGGAACATAAATTTGTGTATAATAAAGCTCAATGTTAAGAACCTTAAATGTTGAACGCATAGAATTTACATCCCAAATCCGTAGCTGCCTTGTGGTCTGGCCCTTCTTCGGACCCCGCGCAAAGCGGGAGCTTAGTGTACCGGACTTCCCTTTTAATTAAATTATTTCTGTATGCTCACCTTTTCAATTGAGTATGGGATCTTTTGTGTTAGGCCTATGCAGCTTCAGATACTTTAAATAATCTTGTTTGATGTCTTAACTTTAGGTTCTGGTCAATTGTATTTTACTATTTGGTAATTTCAAGTCTTCCGTTTGATTTGTTTCTTTTCTTTTAGGTTAGTAGATTTCTACAGAGATTCAGGTTGAACAACCTTTTGAATTTTGTAACTTTACATTTTTCAGTTTGGTCCTTATAATATTGATGACAAGTTATAGTTTTTATTCTTTTTACCTTTTCATAACATGAAAGCTTAAAAGCGATGTTATTCTTCTCCATTTTTGGCTTTCCTCAATTCCCCTGTTCTTGTACCGTACACTTGGTTTACGGACTAACTTGCATGGACCTCAACTGTTACCTCCTAACTACAACCAACACAGATATCGGATAACTTTAAATTTATGCAGATGTAAGAAATCACTTAATATATCTTTATCTTTGATGGGATCAAAATCCCATGACTTTTAACTCATTGACCGTTAGGCCACATTCTTGGGTGCTTGTAGTTAACCATACATTCTAACTTATTTCTGCTGGTGCTACTGGGTGTGACTAATTTTGGATATTAGTTATTTCGGAGTGTTACTGGGGTCACGGGTTCGAGCCGTGGAAACAGCTGCGTACAATAGACCCTTGTGGTCCGGCCATTCCCCGGACCCCGCGCATAGCGCGAACTTAGTGCACCGGGCTGCTCTTTTAGTTATTTCTGGAAACAGCCTCTCTGCCTCATTAAAGGTAGGGGTAAAATCTGCCTAACCCTCCCCAGACCCCACTTGTGGGATTACATTGGGTCTGTTGTAGTTATTTCGGAGTGATGATTTGACAATAGTGCAAGCATTCGTTGTTGCAGAATGTGGATCATTCCTGAAATAAAAGGTGGTATTACAAGAACAACTACAGTTGAAGCTGAAAAATTGAAGTTAGTTTCAGAAGGATGCATTACCAAATTTGTGAGTATTACTAATTCTAAGTATACTTAGAAAATATGATCTCCAACTTGAAGCTAAATTTCTTGTTTATTTCCCCAGCCAAACTTCTTAAAATTTGATCTCACTTTGTTAAGTTGCAGCAAAAACTAGTATCTAAAGATATTTTTGGGAAAGTTTCTAAGACACATCATGCTATTCAGTGAGTTTTTCTGTTCCATTTATTTCTTATTTTGAATAACTTGTGACAGAAACTTTACATTAGATATGATAAAGATAGTCTGCTGATCAATAACTGCATATCTTATACAGAACATTAGACAATACCATTTCAAATTTGGAGATGGAGTTGGCTGCAGCTAAGGCAGCACAGGAGTCAATTCTTAGCGGCGCTCCAATATCAGAAGAGATAAAAAAGAGTGATTCGACAAGAAAAAGAAAATATTTTATGGTGATAGGAATAAATACTGCATTTAGTAGCAGAAAAAGAAGGGATTCAGTTCGCGCTACATGGATGCCACAAGGTTTTTAAAACCGCGCCTATACCTTATTATTCCCTCCTGGTTTCTTTAACTCGTCTCGTGCTAGCATTTGCTTAATATGATATTTGACATTTTTGATTTAACATGGTGAAACAGGTGAAAAAAGAGGGAAGCTAGAAGAAGAGAAAGGAATAATCATTCGCTTCGTCATTGGTCATGGGTGGGAGATTTTTCTTCTGCTAAATATTGAATGATATATTTGAGCGCTTGTCTAGTTCATGTAACTAGATATTTTAATCACTTTAATCTAACTCTGTTGGTATGTATAAACTTGTATGCATAGGTATTCTAATTCTGCCTCAATATATTCATACATCAACAGATCAACTCTTGTTTGTTATCATGTTGTTAAGATTTATAGCAGCATAAACTTTTAACATTCTGTCTAAAAAGCTATAAACTCATTGCACAGTGCCACAGTAGGGGGAATATTAGACAGAGCTATTGAAGCTGAGGACAAAAAACATGGTGATTTCTTGAGGCTGGTAATATGTTGTCTCTGATTTACTGCAATAATTCACTTTATGTATTCATACGTAAAAGACGATACATCAGTTTTGCTACCTTTTAAACAGGATCATATTGAGGGTTATCTTGAATTGTCAGCCAAAACAAAGACTTATTTTGCCACTGCTGTTAACTTATGGGATGCAGAGTATTACATCAAAGTTGATGATGATGTTCATGTCAATATAGGTAACCAAATATTTTTCGTAATTATTTTTAATGCTATATTGAGATTTCAAGACTTGTTACAGCAAATGCAACTGTCTCTCAATGTTACATGACTAGTTTTATATTTGTTGCAGCTACATTAGGGGAAACATTAGCAAGGCATCGTAAGAAACCACGTATATATATCGGGTGCATGAAATCTGGTCCTGTCCTCTCGCGAAAGTAAGGACATTCAATTTTTTTGTCTGTAAATTGAATCTTGAAATTTCAATTTGTTGACATTATATTGTTTTGAATCACAGGGGTGTAAGATACCATGAACCAGAATATTGGAAATTCGGAGATAAGTATTTTCGTCATGCTACTGGACAAATATATGCCATTTCAAAAGACTTGGCTACTTATATATCAGTAAACCAGTTAAGTATCTTTTTCTCTTAATATCTCTAATCAAATTCTTGTATAGTCAAACTTCTCTATAACAACCTCATTTGTTCCGGATTGTTTTGGTTGTTATAACGAAGTGCTGTTATAGAGACCATATATTATGAATAGCATAAAAATTGGTTCCTTAAAAAACTGACTTTTATAGTGAATGATTGTTATATAATAATGTTGTTATAGAGAGGTCTGACTCTAGTTCTTTTTTTTTCCCCACTTACCTATGTATAATCTTCTTGATATTTTTAAAGGCATGTACTTCATAAGTATACCAATGAGGATGTGTCGTTAGGAGCTTGGTTTATTGGACTTGATGTGCAGCATATCGATGATCGCAGATTGTGTTGTGGAACTCCACCTGGTAAATCATTTTTTGTAATAATTGTATAAGCTTTGCTATCAGTTTTAGCTTTCACCACCCTTCAAATGTTTGCTTTGAAATATTAGAAGTTTGACATAAAGTTGGAAAATGAAGGTTCTTAGCAAGCTTCTTCAATAACATGATCTGATTTCCCCCCCTTAGATATGGTCCCCTAAAATCAAATATTATGCCTCCATTGTTTTTTACTCATAGGTTCTGATGCAATGTGTGAACTGCAAAAAAATCATCAAAACCTTCCCTTACAAGCTATGTTGCTCGGACTCTTCAAATATTCCGTGGGGTGCGTGTCAAGTCCTCCAAAAGCAATGCATTTTCGGAAGATTTGATACAGGTGGGACAACATTTTTGGAGAATCTGAGCAACATAGCTTACATGGGGTGTGACTGTCGAAGTTTGAGGAATCCAAGATCCAAAGATGAATCCAGGATCTAAAGTTAGTTAGTTCAGAATGAGCATGAACGTGTCCTAAATCTGACTGCAGATCGAGCTAGTTAATGCTAGCAAGATGCTGTAAAAATTGCAGTTAGTTTCGTTTGTTTGTTACTAAATTTGATACAAAATGAAACTACTTGCTGATGCAGATTGTGAATGGAAGGCACAAGCAGGCAACATCTGTGTTGCATCATTTGACTGGACGTGCAGTGGGATATGCAGGTCTGTTGACAGGATAAAAGAGGTCCATCGCCATTGTGGCGAGGGAGAGAATGCACTATGGAAAGCTGCATTCTGAGGACATGCATTTCTTTCAAGAACAGGACGGCGAAATAGGTCTATCGATATGTCAAAAATCCACATTCTTTTGCTCCGGAATACAGATTATACATGTGAGTAACTCAGAGGCGAATCCAAGATATAGAGTTAGTGGGTTCAGAATAAGTGTGATCTTATTATATGTATACATTTTATGCTTTTCTTTGTTTGCATGTGTATACATAGTCCAAGCTGAGGGTAGTGGGTTCAGTACCCATAGAATCTGCTCTATGTGTATACAGAGAGGCATGCGTCGCGCGATGGGAAGAGACGATCGAAGATTAAAAATAAATGGCCAAGCCTTAGCTGTGGAGAAACCTTCCCCAATTTTGTAGAGAAGAATAGCTAATCAGTAGGCCATAATGTAAGTCAAAGTTTACTGGATTATAAAATCTTAATAAGTGCAAGTCATATTTTTTTTGTGGCATCTCAGTCCAATAATAAAACTGGAATGAATTGTTAGGGAGCTCCAAAAATTTATTTGTCAGTGTAAAGAAGTTAAACTCATAATAGAGTTGTGTAAAATTGCTTTGCTAATATTGGTAGTCATTCCTATGAGGCTATGACATCTTGTTCTAAGCTTTGCATTGTCTATGTCTGTTGCCAATGCCGATAAAAATGATTAGTGAAACAAGAAATTAGTGAATGATATTGCTGGTAATTCACTCAAAGTATGTAGGTAAGGCATCTATTTAGAAGTAAGCAAGTATTAGGTGACATCTCAACTAATGCTTGATAGCAATATTCACTGCATGTTATTAAAGGGCAACCCGGTACACAAAGTATCTCGCATTCACGCAGAGTCTGGGGAAGGGCCGTACCCCAAACGGGTGTGATGTAGGTAGTCTACCTTAATGCAAACATCAATACCTGTGATCCAAGTCTTCCTTAGTAATTGGAATTCATGAGTTTTGNATATATATATATATAAGGTTTCCTTCATTTGAAACCTTTTGAAGAGCAAGAGAAAAATAAAGCTCTTTCTGTTTTCACCATATTTCTGGAGGGATTTCTTGCCTTTGCATTGTCAACAACATTCTAAACAAGTTATAACAACAACAACAGAACCAGTGTAATCCTACAAGTGGGATTTGGGGAGGGTAGTGTTGTACACAGTCTTTACTCCTACCTCGTGAAGATAGAGAGATTGTTTTCAATAGACCGTCGGCTTAGGAAAAGCAAAGTCAAAGCATAATCGAAAAGATATACTGCAGGGAATTTTGAGAAGTGAGGGAGATGAATAGGGTAAAAACTTACCCGCATTAAGTGTATGGTTTAGTGTAAACACCGGGTACCAATAAGTTTTTACCGATGAATAGTATGTATAAATACTACCAAAAATTAACTACTCAACAAACTTATTGAATGGCACCTTGGAGAATCACTAGACACTACATAGTACTTCAATATTATGAAATTAATTAGAAACTTCTTAATTTAGTAAACCTAAATATCTCTTCTAAAACTGTTTGTGAAAACAATGAAGTCCTTAGAAGCTAAATTTAGAAAAACTTAAAAATGAAAAAAGAAAAAAATTAAACAGTGTGTCAAGAATAGCCACAAAACAAAGAGCAGCTTATAATTCTTTGGGTTATCCCAGTTTCAGACGTCACATTTGTAGTTGGATTGTAAACTTAGCTATCAAACAGAAGGCTGTATTGAAGAAAATCCGCAAATACGTAATATTTTTGTCCTTATATTTACATTATTTTAGTCTTTTAGACTTCACATACTTTGTAATCTAACCTAAAGAGTGCATACAATATACTAAAGCACAAAGGTCATAAACATTCTTATAGAAGGGTGTCATTTGACATCGCTTCATCAAAAAAAATTCACGAATGTATATGGGCAACCGGTGCACAAGGCATTTTATATTCACGCAGGGTCCGGGGAAGGGACGCACCCCAAGGGGTGTGACATAGACATCCTAACCTAATGCAAGCATTAGTGGCTGCTTCCACAGTGCTAACCCGTGACCTATAGGTCACACAGAGACAATTTTACCATTGCTCCAAGGCTTCCCTTCTAATTCACGGATGTATATATATGTAAATAATATTTGATAAAAACGATACATATATCTTAAGATAATACAAAGTAGACATTAATTTGGAACTAGAATTAAACCTTAGAACCTCTACAATCCCAAACCTGAACTAACATACAAGTTGAGTTGTGATAATAGACCGTCATTGCTAGGCGCTAGCTTGTGCAAAATCTTGCATATTCCAGTGCATAGAAGTACAAGCATCAAAGAGCTAGTCTGTTTGTGTTTTTTTTTTTTTCATTTCGTTTTGGACCATAATTTGGGCGCACTTGCATGCTTTTAGATTTGGTATTTTGGTTAGGGAAAAATAAGACAAAAAATGCTTATAAAAACCCAAAGCATATTGGAATGTGATAAATTAAGGGAAGAAAAGATAAACAACTAGCTTGGAAGCTACTCATTGTCTCACTGACAAGCTTAGGCCAAATGAGAGAGGCAGCTTTGCTCTTTAACTATCAAACCAACATTTGGTTTCCAATGACTATAATAGTTGTGACCGTGCAGAAACCAGATGATTTCTTTCCATCTGCTTAAATTTAGATAGTCAAAATTAATCAATACATGTCTCGATGACGATGAGAGATAGCATATACGTGCAGTGGTGTAATAGTTGATGTGTGCACAGCTGGCCCGAACATTATCGTTACCAGAATCCTTCAAAATAATTGGTCAACCTTCAACCTCTTAATAAGGAATAATATAATTAGAACAAGAACCGACGAAAAAAATCATTATTAACTGTAAAATAGGAAGCCAAAAAATTTCAGACAGACAAAGAGAGCACACAAATGAGAAAACAAAATAGTTGAAGCAACAAGATCATCGTATTTTACCAGTAGAAAAGATTACTGCAATTGGCAACTTTGTAGTAGTACTCCTTCACTAGCTACTTGATGGTGATGGAGAATTAAATACATATACATATATGGACTTTAAATTAAGAGTTTGCTACACGTGATATTGGCACGGCTCAATCAAAAAGTAGAGTCAAAATTTGTCGAGTACTGCTTTCTCATTGAACCGCACCAATATCTCGTGTATTCATCCGACTACAACTTCAACAATATCCATCCTTGATTTTGACTTTGATTTTCCTTTTCCATCATATTTACAAAAGCAAAATAATTCTACGGGTGGAATGAATCAAGTTGAGGAAAAAAATTCAAAGGATTGAGGAAATGTTGAAGAATGGAAGACTAGGTGTTTGAGCTAAGGAATTAACTTAAAATAAGGGAAAATAACAGGTAGAAGAAGACAATATGTTTGTTGCATTAAAGAAGTAAGCATTAAATTAGCCAACTACTCACCAAGAAAGGAAGTTGAGAATATTAAAGAAGTGAAGGAACTGTGAAAGAAAGATTGAAAAAGGGAGATAAATCTGAAGCTATGAAATACTTGTGCATTAAATGGGTATTGAGTAGGGCAGGGGATGTTTGGTTCTGTTCAATTCTTGCATTTATATCACCCTTCTTTGTCTTTTTAATTGCTTAAATAAAATTTTATAATATCAAATCACCTAAGAGATAATTATAAGTAATTATTCATAAATGGAATTAGTAACCTAGAAAATATGTTAGGTTACTTGCTTCAACAAAATAAAATAGACTAATAATATAAAAGTTCTTTACACTATAAGCGTATATAAATTAAATGAGAAGAAGAACAAAAAACAAAATTCAGAATTGTGTTAATCTAGTATGTACTAGTAGTTTTGATGAATGTGTACTATGTTGTAGTGGGGAATTCTTGTCCTAGCAGGACTAAACAAGAATCCTCTTTCTTGCCGAGGTAGAAGTAAGTTGCCTAACTTTGCACACTTCCATTTACTTGTTGAAAATGGCAACATTTCAATCTGATTATCAATTTAGATTGGATAAATACTTGCATTTGCGACCAATTTATTTAACACTTTCTAACACCGAACGAGTCTAGTTTTCCAGTTTTACTTTGATTGGTCTAAGCTCTAAGGGGAATACAAACGAGTTCAAGGAGTGGTTTTTTTTTCTTTTTCTTTTTCTGTCACTTAAATTGTTTAACCTAAAAATTGTTGTTAACAGCTTAAGCAATTAAATTGTATGATAGGTCACAAGCAACCGATTCGATCCTAAAGATATACATTTTTATTAATACAATGTGATAGAGAAATTAAAAATGAATTCAATGACATATAATTTATAAAAATAAAACAGAGAAAAAATAATTCTTATTGAATGATTTGTGATAGGATGATGAACTACGTATAATTTAATAAAAATAAAGCATAGAAAAAATAATTCTTATTGGATGATCTTTGATAGGATGATGAGCCGAACTATAGCAAGCCATGGGGCAAGTTGTTATGAATTACAATGTGTAGGATTATAGAGAATTAAAAAAATTAAATGATTACAATTGTGGTAAAATGTGCCTATTTATAGGACTAGTTTATTTCATAACTGCTGGGTTACCCCTATAACTGCTGGCTTAATTCCGTAATTGATGAGTTAATTTCGTAACTAATAGTTAATTCCGTATGATTTGCTTATCTTCTTGTCCGAGTTAAAGACTTTCCAAGTAGTCGATGGTTACCTCCGGAATAACACCACTTGATTCCTATTCAACAACTCGTGATGTATTTCCTTAGCTGACCTTTCGGTTTGACCTTGAGCTGATTAGGCTATACTTGCCATGTGTTATCTATCGAGTGTGCCACATATTAGGTCCATTTTTTACCGATACATAATTAACAATAAGAGAATAGTAAGAAAAAAATAAAATAAAATGGGTGACCAGGAAAATTTTAGAATTTGTACTCGTGACACTATTATTGGAATGAGGGCGAAATACGCTGAGCAGCCCTTTTAAGTTTGTTATTTAAAATATATTTATAATTTACCAATTCACCCAAATTTCAGGATTAAGTATTCTAAATTTTTGAGCTACTAATTTGGAATTCAGGACTTAGAGTCCAGAATTTCGAACTGCTAATTTAAAATTTAGGAGTAAGTGTCATAAATATCTGAACTACTAATTTAAAGTTCAGAACATAAAATTTTAATTTTTGGACACAAATATTCGAACTTTAGGACACGTTGTCTTGAAGTTTGAACCTTGAGGTTTAAACTTCAGAACGTCGTGTCTTGAAGTTTGAACGAACTGACTAATTTTTAAATTTATTGTAAACTATAAATATATATATATATATATATTAAACATCATACTTAAAAGTGGCTATATTATATCATTTTCACTCGGAATTGTGACCTTTTGGCCATCTCAGTCACAACTTAGAAGTGTTCAATTGACTAACATAATCTATAGTTCTCCAAGATTTTGCTGTCAAGGAGTATTTATAAGCCTCCTTAACGACTTCTTCTTTAACCCCACTTCTTTACGCT